TTTTCATAAGCCACTCTTCAACTGCAACTATTGTAAAAATAACAATATTCTATTATCAAGCCAACAATAGTTAATTTTAATTTAACATTTATTTGTTGTGTCAATTCCCCGGGCCATAAATGAAAAAATAACTACGTTTCATTCAGCTCTAGAGGTAAGTAAGTATGCTGCTGTTGCAAAATATCAACAGTTTTTCTTTTTTTCCTTGATTTTTTCCGTCGATCTTATTTTCAGTACTGAGTACCAATGCTCCCAACGCCAGGAAGGCCGCTCCCACACCTGGACCCTACCTGTCGACCCATCAACTCATGAACCGGAGAGATTTTATGCCTCAGAAAGCTTTTTTTTTAATTTCATTGTAATTCTGTTGGTAACAAATAGAAAACAAAACATAAAAATAATCGCAAATTATTAAAAATTTAATCAATAAACATATTTTTATTTCTACTGCGTATATTTTTAGGCTTAATAAAATAAATATGATTGAATCAACAAGAAATCTCTTTTAAAAACAAACATATTTTTTGTTGACCCAGCTGCCAAATTTGACAGCTTACGTCAAAACCATAAAAGCTCTTGTGCATTCGAAAAGATTTTCTTTTTGATTTAACAATCCATGGGTTTTTAAAACAAAGATACTGGATTGTTGAAATAATAATGATTTCATTTTGCAGCCAAAACAAAATGAAATTCTTATTAAATTTACGTCAAATATTATTACGTTTAAATTATTTTTTTCTGCGTGTATAATGCTAATTAGTACTTGTAAGTTACAAGAAGAGATCATGAAGTATATGTTTGATACATAAAATCTGTCAATATTGCTTTCAGTGCGTCACAATCAGCGATTTTACCCCGCGCTCACTCTGAGTGAACGCTCACGAATCATAAGATCACTGATTGTGACGCTTTCAAAGCGAAATTGACAGGTTTTATGAGTCAAACACATACTTTACACCCTCTTATTGTTACTTGCAAGTACAACACAGCATTATAACATATAAAGGTTGCATAATTCCGAAAAATATATATATTCCGACTGTATTCACCTTTATTCAGCAATATTGTTAAGCAATGCAATGGAATCTAATAATGTAGGTAGAAAAACAATTATTAGACTTATAATAAAGCATGTTATTAAATCAATTGAAAACAATCGAATTAAAGCGTCAATGTTGTATATGCAAATTACACTTATTCAGTATGTTATTAGATCAAACTTCTGGTGTTGAATCAGGAAGACAGTCATCGTTTGTATAGCATTTAATAAGTATATTAATCAAATCAGATCAAACAGCGGAATAAAGGTGCATCTATCAATTTCAATAAGGTTTTTTCAGCACAAACTTGACAACCTGTTTTATTCAGCATTGTACACTGTTATAAAGCATTTATTCAATATATATGCTTATTTGTGACTCTGAATTGTTTCTAGGGTACATTTTCCTATTATCTCAATTATACGTGGTGTAAATAGAATTTACATTCTGTCATTCTGTCATTTATATATCAAAGAATATTCCATTCAAAGCCACTAAAATTTTCATTGAAACTTACGTGATTTCCACAAACACAAATTCTATGTGCGTTGCACGTAAACCTTAAGTGGTTTTCAAGTGTGAAAAAAATGAGTTACCCACGTGCATTTAGAATGTTTACATGTCAATGATAATGTTTGTTATTTTGATGGTTTAACTGCAAATTGCAAGTAGAATGGATTGAGATTTTTCATTTGCAATAATTTAACGTATGTTGTTTTATAGTTCAGCTGAACAAGGGACGGCAAGGTTTTGAATTGAAGTTATAATGCCTTGATGCATGTAGCATGATTACCATATTCCCTTATAGGTTGTTCGTGTTTTCGATCCGATTTTATTATAATTCCTATATTTTCAAATGTGAATAGTAATAAAGCAAATAAAATAGTTTTTTTTATAATACATATGTACATACATTATTTAAAACGAACATAATACAAAAGTATCGGAAACCGCCATGAATTTCATCACAAGAATCACGTAACTTTTACGTGTTAATCCAGTGACGATGAAGTGTATTGAAATGAGTTCTTCCATATGTGAATCACGTAGCCCCTGACGTAACCCCCCAACAAACAATTTGAGTTGATCAACAGCTGAAAAAGCAATTTTTTTTACTGAAGAAGCTCGTTTTTGCCTGAATATGCGCTTTTACTCAACATTCAATGTTTGTTAGGTTACGTGAAAAGTGCGATAAAAAATCTACATATGTTTTCACGTAGCATTGAAGTGAAGATTGTTTTGAGTGTAATGCTTCTCAACTAATAGTACGTTCAGACTACAGAGTTATAACATGTTATAGCGCTTTCTTGATGGTGGTTTCTGTGTTGCAATTATTTGACAACCGTTATAACATGTTATAACTCTCCAGTCTGTACAGCGTTTAACACTATACACTCAAAATAATTGAAACGTTGATGTTATGTGAAAAATCACGTAGGGTATCTCTTTTTCCATTGCTGTCAATTTTACGTGGCCCAAGTAATCTCTACATGATACCACCTATTGTAATATGTGAACAGAAATTCCTTTCGAAGCCGCCAGACTTCTTATTGAAATTCACGTGATTTACACATACGCAGATTCTATGTGCATTTCACGTAAACCCTAAGTGATTTTCAAGTTTAAAAAACGAGTGATTCACTCATAGTGCTATACAATATAACGTTTATTCATTGTGCATGTTTACATACCATTGGAAATCCAGATTTTGCATTGGTTTTTATTTCTGTGACTTACAATTTCGTATTGTAAGTATAATGAATTCCAATTTTACTTGGAGGTTAATTTAGTTTCTTCTTTTTTTTAGTATGACGACAAGGACCAGCATGTATGGACTTTAATTCAAGCGGAAATTATAAGCTAATGTATTCTTATTTGTTTTCTTGTTCCCGATCCACCGAGTGCGTGCGGGCAGTTTTAATTCGTTTTGTTTGTATTTAGGCTTAGTGATAATTAAATGTTAGAATAAGTGCAAAAAATGTAGTGTTATTTGTATGCTTCGTGTATTAAAATAAATGTAGTGTTTTCTATTCGCGACCCATACATCACCCTTCGAGTGTTGAGGAGCCAGACGCTGCCGAAGCCGGTAGAAGTATAGGTACTATAGATTCCATAGATAAGCGGATGTAAAGTAGAATGTAGCCAAACGAACTATCAGTTAGTGTAGCCAAACGAGCATGACGTCATCATGGTGTGTTTTGTATTATAAGCTCGATTATAAGCACAAAACGCTTTCCACACTCCATATTCCGAATTATTTCGTGGAAAACGGAATATTACGCAAACTACTCCTTGGCTCATTTTTGCAAAGATTTGCTTTGCACTTCATTTTGAATTTTTGCACACAAAACAAAACAAAACTGCATAACGAAGATATGATGGCATGAACATCATGAATGCCAGTAAAAGCATTTATTTTTCATGGTTGCCAAACACACTTTTTGTGCCTCCGCTTATCTATGGAATCTATAGTATCTATAGGAAGAAGCTAACAGAAGAGGTGACAATAGGATCACAGACAAACAGACGTAACTCTTAGAAAAACTTGTTCTTGAAAACATAGTATCTCAAAACATATAACCTCAGTAACGACATCTCTCTGGCTTCTCGCGGAAAACAAGCTTGCTCGCTAACTCGTAAACAATATTGCATAGAATTTCTATAGAATATATAGAGACGTCAAAATGATCCGATGCCAGCGCTGCGGCGAGTAGTTCGCGGAACAGATAATATTCAAATCAACCGTTAAATGCATGAACGAAGATACACAATGAAGAGTTACGTCTGTTTGTCTGTGATAGGATGCTGCACGCTGACGTCACGAATGAACGCGATGAACACGCATTCATCAGTTTGAGATCCAGTGGTGGTTTGTTTACCTTTGCTTGTTAGTCGATTCAAGTGAACTTGAGGTTTAAAAAAATAATTAAAAGATATGATATGCGACTATGTTCGTTTGAAAAATATTCCTCTCCAACAAATCTAAAAAAAAACATTTAATAATTTTTTTTTCTGAGTCCATGTAAACAAACCACTGCAAATGTCAAAATAAGTGAGGTTAACCCGACGGTGCAGCTCCCTATACGGGGGCAAAAATGAACCACTTTTCTGTCAAACGTGAACCAGCTCGTGATTGGCTGATTTGATGTGCGTAAGATAAAGATAGACATAGATAAAGATCAGTGGCACCGGTGGTGTTGTGGTAAGCGTGATTGCCTCTCATCCCAGCAGGCCTGGGCCAGTCGGTGCCGCCGGGATGTTCTGAGGCATAACATCTCTGATCACGCCTTCCTTCGGAAGGGAAGTAAAGCCGTTGGTCCCCGGTTCATGAGTTGATGGGTCGATAGGTAGGGTCCAGGTGTGGGAGCTGCCTTCCTGGCGTCGGTAGCATTGGTGCTCAGCACGGAAAACAAGATCGACGGAAAACAAATCAAGGAAAAAAAAGTAGATAAAGATAGAGATAGAGATAGAAATTAAAGAGTAGAAAGAAAATTGTCACCTCTTCCTCTTAGGGAAGAAGGTATTCGGTTCCCCAACAATTGATTATAACGAAAAATTATGTTTAGTTTATTTGGTCTTTTTACATTTTGTCGTTACTGTCGACGAAATGAAAATTCATTCCTGCTTTCATCATGGATACGTTGAATGTGTGCGTATTGTTTACATTTCTTTATGTTACTCGTCAACCATACCACCCACCCGCCGTTGGCTGCTCCAAAAAGTTTGTTATGTTTGTTTATTAGTAAACATTAATGGGTGAGTTTATTCTCTTTCCTCTGCTCGTATTCTCTCGGAGAAAAACAAACATCACTCAAATATGCATGTGTTGGTGAGGTACTTTAGAAACTGTGCTCAGCTCTCCTCACGTCAGGATGGGGGAATAATCTACTCGTGCTAAGCTCGTTTGTTGTTTCTGCTATTTACATCAGTCGTCCATTCATGAGCAAGTGTTCGTTCTGAACGGATCAGTATCAGGAGTGATTATTTCGCTTTTGAATTCAGTTTTAATAAAAAATAGTTACAATATTGCCCCTTATTCACTACTTTGAATCAACTATAAATAAATTCGACAGTTTACAACGGATGAGTTTTATCAAATTGGCACCGGGCTACAAAGGAACTTGCCCTGTAGTGAAAAGAGGATGTACTTCTCATTCCAGACGTCTGCCATCAGTGAATTTGCCTTCAAGGTGCGTTCGTGGTGTCCAATAATATCGTAAAACGTCTTGCATGTGTGAGTGCATGGTGGTTCTTGTGGATTGTGGTGCAGTAATCGTCGCGCCTTGTGAGCTGGTGTGAAAAAGCTGTCTTCATTGCCGCCTCGCTATGTTCCGTTGCCTGGCAGTATGTGAGACAGATGTCTGTTAGATGAGTGAAAAAAAAATCAATCAAATAAATCTTCATTAATTATGGTGTTACGTTTCCCTTCTCTCTCTTGCTGAGCTAGTTTTATTATATAGCAGCATTGGAGCAGTTAGGAACCAACCAGTGCGACGATAAAAAGCCTCACGTCACGTTCGCATATACATTCTTTTCGAGAAAAGTTGCGGAACAAGGCATTTCTAATGACGCAGAAAAATATTATACAATAATTGTGCAAAATAAAGCTTTTAATAAGTGTAACTAGTGTCTACAACTATAGTGAAGAAGACAAAGCGGACGGAGCGTGGCAGTGAATTATAATTGCAAGAAATATTCTTGCATCATAAACCAATGGTTTGCATTGGTGTGGCATGTGTTAATATGTTTTCAAGAATTACTGTGCATCTATACTATAGAGCAACGAAAGATATAAAGTGACAGACCGTGAGTACCTCTTCCAAGCAAACAATGCTTTACGTAGAAATCAGCAACTTAGCTATGTTGCACATAATATTTATTTGAAATCAGGTTGTATATTTTCTCTCGCTAACACAAAATCAAACATGGTGGACAGCTATCGATTTTCCATTAAATTCCTCTTTCGCTAGGAAAAAACGAAAAGAACATAAAATATTGTTCTTTAATGATATGCAATTTAAAACTTCCACCCCTTAGGTACTTACGTACAATTCCGCTCATCGGTTCTCTCTTTTCCTCTTTTCAAAGCTGCCTCTATCACTACGCATTTGCACAGTCGAATCAAGTCTACGAATTTTAGTCATAATAAGATCTTCATAAAAATCCGATTTTTGTTATTCAGAAAATGATGATATTGTGTATCTTAAGAAAATTTCCGTCTGGCGGCTACCCTAGCTGTCAAAGTATTTCCGCTAATATGAAAATGAGCAATTGCTCTTAAGAGTATTGAAAATACATAGTGTGCATTGACAAACTTGAAGAATTTTTGCTGGCGATTCTTTCAAGCCTTGTTGATTTGACAGCTGTGGTGGAACTTCTGAGATAGCAATATGTTTATATTTTTATCCAGAACAGTATGCGATGGTAAGCAATAGTTACGGTATTTTACGGGATACATATAGAAACCCTAAAAAATATCATCTTTGTAAAATTGGTACAAATGGTTGCTTTTATTATTACAGAACTGGCCTATTAAACAATTTGTTTGTTCTTGTTTCTGAAATCGATAATATCTTAGAAAAAAATTTAGTCCCCATCTCATACATATTTTTAAAACTTTTGGCGAATGGAAGTTGTTACCATTATAGTCTCTATATTCATTGTCTGGCGGATAGAATTTCGATCTATCAAAAAGTGGAACCAATTCAATATATTTTAGACCAACAAATGAAAAGGTACTATCAACATTTATAAACAAACGTTGATTATTCTTTCCACGCCAATCAAACGCAAATTACCCGCATCATCGGATAGGGGAAACTTTCCACAACCCGAAGATGGTATTAGTTTGCGTAGGCGAGCCTTGAGTCACGAGAAAATGGTTTCCGACGTTTTGTTCGCAATAGCTGATGTGCTCTTTTCTGTTGTTAGTCGTGATTTGCTCGATTGGTTCCGCTATTTGACAGCTCAATTAGTTCCCGAGATTCTATCCGCCAAACCCAAGACGCCAAACTATGAATATAGCGACTATAGTTACCATACCATCAGAAGTTTCGAGATAAAGTTTGTATTGTTGGATTAAAGATTAAATAATCGATTTCAAATTTTAAATTCAATTTCTTTTTAGGCAATACATAAGGCATCAATATCTGGTCTTTTTCTGAACACGCTAACATTGTATATGATTGCAAACATCTGCATTTCGACTTTAAAAAATAATGGTGTTTATACGGATTCTTTATGACAACTCGCTCATACGAAAAATCGTTTGGCTGCATCATTTGAGGATTATTTATTTAGTAGTATGTTGTTGTGTAGAGTAAATGTAGGTATTTTGTACCTAACGTTCGTTTTGTTAGTATAGTTAGCTGGGGTTATTCCGAGAGTCGAAGTGACTTTTGTCACTAGTGAAGTGACAAAAATTCACGTCAGGGTGACGTGACTCTCCATTTGCAACCCCGAGCATATTGATTCTTATACATTTTAGCCAGTTTCAATCTATGGTTTTACCAATGTTTACCCATTTTATCAATGCCCAAAAAAGAGTAGGTACGGAGAACAGTGAGAGAAGAGCTATTTTTCCGTTTTATGACACTCATATTTTTCCTACACCGAAAGTGGATGTCCATGGTAGACCCGGGCTGTGCCTATACTAGCTGCTATGCATTCAATGAAAACAACCAGCTGTAAACGGGAAGGCAAAAACGAGTGAAAATTTATGATTATTTGATCAGTGTTTTATTTTTTAATTTATGTAAATAATTTTTATTGCATGCTCCTTGTCCTGCTAGCTCCCTCTCACACATGAGGTTATATGGCACTGTGGGAAAAGAAGAGGAACTTTAAACCTAAACACTCTCCCAGTTTGAGCTGTATATATTCCGGTCGGTATCGGTTCACAGACATGAAGTTGTGTGTAAAGGAGAGGGCTTAATACGTATATTATACACTACCACACGGATTTTAGAGGTCTGTGTCGGCATTTCGTAAAATTTACTGAAAATTTATCATTGTAAGATTAAGTTGTTTTTTTTTCGTTATATAAGCGCACAAAAAATACATATAGCACGACACGCTAGTTATATAGCAAGGCATATAGTCAGCAGAAAAATTAGTTTTACATGCGCAAATAATTTATAAATGTGTAGTTAATCCATTTTATAACTTCATGCAGGGTTCTGTGATAGCCCTGTCAGTTAAGGTGATACGATCCAGAAACCCGGCTCTGGGGCCACTTCGCATTTTCTAGAGGTCAATTATCTGCTACCGGAAAACATACAACAACAAAACTGCTGCGATGCAGCAAATATGGTGATGCAAATTTAATCCCTGAAAGTGCAATGCAGTAGAAATTCGGCTTTTAATACTTTTTAATTGGGCCTCCGCTGTTTGGGCCTTGACCCAATTAAAAAGCAACTGAATGTCAAAATCTCATGTCAAATTAGATTTGACAATCATAAATACATTTTTCCAGGGAGTGAACTGAACATATGCGTTCAGGACTGCAAATCAAATGTAATGAATGTAAACATTTGGTATTTGTTCGAAGCATTTGAGTTTCATTTGTATTTCTAAATGAAAACACAATGTGATTTGCTTCTTCCACTCAAGTGTGATTGAATACGCTTTTTGTGAAATCTTCTCAACTACAACAAAGGATGCGTACACCCAATGAGCTGGATTACCGAGGTGAAGCAATCGTTTAGGTTGTGTGAGTAAAACCCCTGTACGATACAAGCAATTAGTGACGTCACTACTTGCGTTTACGTTGATTTTTTGGTTTACTAATACAACCATATTTCACGATCTGCTTCACCTCTCTCTGTACCTCATTGGCGTACACCCCCAACAAATTTTAGCCTTCTGTCAGTTGATCCAACTAACGAAAAAATCAACTAGCAACACTGCCAGCTAGAATGTGTAGCTAATTCTAGATAGAGCTGGAATTAGGGCGTAACAGCTTTTGTAAACAATGACTTCTTCCGATGATTTCTAGAAAGTTAAGACTTGCCAACGCAAAACAACAACACCATCGGGTAGGGGACGACTTCCCCTACCCGACGGTTATGACGGTTTGTGTGGGCATGCCTTGAGTTCATAGAAATCATCGATAAAAGTCATTGTTTACAAAGGCTGTTACGCCCTAATTCCAGCTCTATCTAGAATTGTGCGCGAAAAATAAGCCTGGAAGTGGTTACATACACGCCAAGAGAAAAACAGTTGAACTCGCATCACGGTTTTCGAAACATTCCCATTCTTTTCACTTGGCAACAGAGGACTTCTACAACAACTTCAAATGACTTCTAGCGAGACAAAAAATATTGCGGCTGTAGTAAATCATTATATCAGTGATTTTGTCAAATTATCTTAACAAAAAATAGTAGAAATTCTCATAACTAATCATTACCGAGCGTATCCCGTAACAATTTAACGCTCACTGCGTGTTTATGCTCATTTCTTCTATTATATTTTATATATTATTGCAATACCTTTCGTGGACCTTTCATAGCATCGTAATGTTTATTTACTTTGCACGATAGGTAGCCGGTTTGACAGTTCAATAGGTAGACTTGGCTTCACTCTTGGCGTGACTCATTATACACCGACTCTACTGTACACATCATCCGCCATTGTAAACCGACGTTAAGATATCTGCTGCTTATACCACAGACAGACATAAAAATTAGTACCGTTGTACTCCTTTAATCTACTGCCTCAAAATGTACAATTTGTGGTACTAGCTTAAAGCAGTACAACCAACAATCAATACGAAACTAACGATTTTAAATTGGCTCACCACTTTAGTAGCCTATTGGTCCCAAGCAAACGATTAACGTACCCTATTCTAGTTGAAATTCTATTACTACACTATGTTTGTTTTGATTCGCTATGAAAGTTTGACAGATAAAATGAGGGGTTATTGGTTTTTCCTATGTTTCGAGGAGTGAATCGATTAGCTTGGGACCGAAGATAGTACCAGAGCTGAGCCAAAAAGTTGAGCACGTTATTTCGGGACCTTCTAGTCTTACAGTTACCTCTATGGTATTACTCTCTCTATCACGCACATACACAATGTCGACCAAGCGCACTTGACCTGCCAGTATCAAAGCAAACAACGTTACAAAGCGTCCAAGAACAACCGATGAAGATGCTGATGCTAATGGAGATCCGATAACACTGGACACCGCAGTAAGAATGCTGATGAAATAGTTCACCGATACAAAGACGTTGATTGATGAAATGCGCAACGAGATAAACATCAAGATCGATGCTGTACAATCTGAGCTGGAGGATAAATTGAATGCCGTCTCGAACGACATCCACTCTCTCAAAGCTGAGTGTGCTGCTAATTTCCAAAGCTACGACGTTGCGTTGACCGAAAGGGTTGACGAAATTTCCTCAGTCATGGACAGCCTGGGGAATAGGAACGAGCTCATTTTTTTTCCTCTGTTCGGGACCTAACACTACTGCGACCAGTAAATTGATCTATTGTAGTATATCCCGTGTCCTTAGTTTAGTGCATGTCGTATTACTCCATCACTATTGAGAAATGATGAAGTATTCGATTTTTTTACAGTTGCCACTCTTGCATTTATCGCAAGGATCCGACTCTAATTGAAAGGTTCCGCTATTTATACCTTTCGGAGTGTTGAAACACCCTCCAAAGGCGCGCCCCTCTGTCAGTCAAAATTGAATTCCTTAGCAACAAAATTAAGGTATGACACCGATAATGACCATGCATCAGAACCCTAGTTTTAACCACTTCAAACTAGGGAACAACGAAGAGAAGATTAGGAATCACATAG